AATGAGCATACCATAATGTACGGATAAACTTGAAATCAGCGTGGGAGTTGAGAATCCTGTCAACTCCACTGCATCGAACTGTAACCTCATCGGATTTGCTCAGCGCGGTAGAGGGCTATAGAAATCGACTTTTGGCTGTACCATTCACCACCCATTCCCCTAAAGCACTGCACACGCACACATGCACTGCAAACCGTAGAGAAGGTACTGCAATGCTCCGCGCACCCGAAAGCAAACCTCTCACTCTCCACGCCCGCACGGAACTCGACCAACAGGGCGCGTGTCCCACTGCTTTACACACGGCCGTTTGTCGCACGAATCACGCTCGCGCCTGGCGAGGTCAAACGCAGCGCTGCGAAGGCGGACGCGCTCGGCTGCATAACGCCCCCACACACACACAAAGTCCCCCCGCCCGTCCCGCTCGCATTAGGGCCTGTGTAAGTACAGATAACGCGGCCGGAGCGGCGCGGCGCGGCACGGCGCGGCGCACAGCCGAGAGCCGAGCGGAGCGGAGCGGAGAGAGAGAGGCACGGCGATACGGGCGCGGGCGCGGCGGCAACCCCGTTTCATCGAGCCAGGGCGGGGGAAGAAGGGCGGGGCGAAGGGCGGGGCACGGCGGGACGGACACCATGTGCGCGAACCGGCCGCTCGAACGCGCAGTCTCGCGCACACGCACTACGCACGCACGTACGCGCCAGCGGCCTTCCGATTCCTCGTGGCCTGAACGAATTGCCGCCCTGGATTCGTTCCCTTCGTGAATGGGTTTTAGAAAGCAATGCAGAAACTACGCGTGCGTAAAACCGAAGTTCGCGTCGCGTCGTGTGAACTTTCTCCCGTCGTCTAATGAATGTTAGCAAGGAGAACTACTCGATTACTTCACTACCACTTAATGCGAGTACTAATGTGAGTTTGCGAGTACGTGAGAAGAATTGGATCTTGTTAACGGATGAATTGCGAAGGTTAATTACATCTATCCTTCACGAATACGGCAAATTAAATACTGTGGAATTATTTTTTATTGCTGAAAAACATGACAAAAATACGGTTCGGGCCTTCTTTTACTTTAAAAGAGGGCAAGTTTCGTTCATAAGCAATCCGAGGCACTGAAATAACAATTGATAACCTTAAAGTTCAGTTGGAGATGGAAAGTTCATAGAACTTAAAGGAGAAAGGCTCGGTTGCCAATGGTGTGTGCTTCGAGTGTGGACGTGAAGCAGCATGAAAGTACATGTAACGAAACTTATTTTCGGAAATGCCACTAGGCCTTCTAGAGCGAGTGCATGCCCTGATACTTCGCGATTTCCTCAGGCATCCTGATAATTGTATTAATCCTGCTCCAGCGAATGCGTAACATTTATTGCAGCAACCGTCATCAACATTTCAACAGTACAACTGACCAGTATTAGAATGCAACTCGCGATGAAAGGCGCAAAACCCGAGTCCGCACAACAACTATAGGCATCCTGATAACGTAAATTGTATTAATCCTGCTCCAAAGAATGCGTAACATGTATTGCAGCAACCGTCATCAACCTTTCAACAGAACAACAGACGAGTATTAGAACGCAACTCGTGACGAAAGACGTAAACGACGCAAAACCCGAGTCCGCACAACTAAATTCGTACGCTGAATCCAGACCCGCTCTCCCTAGAAGGAGCATTCCGCGAATAAACCCGGTCCGCTGAGTTTCGCTCCCGTGACCCAAGCAGCAAATACGTTTCACCCGTGACCCTGCCGGCAGCCGGTTCCTCGCGCGTTTTCAAAGTGCGACGTCCGCCTCCAAAGAGCGTCGCGGCGTGGCGCGGCGCGCGTCTACGCTCGGGT